AGGCTGGTCAAGCCTCAGTCAGTCTGGACGCAGAGGCTAGAAGAAAAATTCTCTGCCCCTGTCAGGTATCAAACCCTGGTCACTATACTGACTGAGCTACCCAGCTCATTACATGCTTTTATGCATACACTCAAAACAATGAATTTATAAGTGCATTCATAGCAGGAACTGCTAAATGAATGAAAAACAACAGCTACATTAGCTTAAGAAACATCTGACATGCTGAAGTGGTTCATCACTGAACTCATTGTTCCCACATAAGCCAACAATCAAAGAACTTGGGATTATAATCATGGTTCCTCATGAGCTCTGGCTTCATGGAATTGTTTCCCAGAGTTAATACAGCAATAAGTATGACGCAAGCACTAGGAAAGAAGGTTGTGAGGTTTTCACGGCAGTTAGTCTGAAGATGATTGTCTTCCATAAGAAAGGGCTTTATAATGTTTCTTATAATCAGAAAATAAAAGAGGGGGTATTTGTTGGTTATCAGGACACAAAACGTGAGTCGAATATCTGGACTTGGATTGAACCATCGATACAACTTTGTTGATCCGGAATCCGGTGCACACACCAAAACAATAGAGAGATTATGGGGATCAGCTAAGTGGCAGAATGAAACACTGAGAGGCACGGCACGACATCATCTGGATTCATATTTATCCGAGTTCATGTGGCGGTGTACAAATGATAACGGCGATATTTTTAAAACGATTCTAAAATCTATAAGTGAATCTTGGCCTCTGGCAACAGGTTGTTACAACAATAAATTTCAAGTATGTCATTTATCCACACACATTAACCTAACCTATTTTTAAAGCGATGTGTCCCGATAACCCACAAGTACCAAAGAGGGTAAATATGTGGGTTGGTCAAAGAAAACCTGTTCAGGGATTGTTTTGGACAAAAGAGAACGGCTGTTGAGAACAGATCCAATAGGAGTTGAGGCAGGTGTCCCATTGATGCTCTAGCATTGACATCTTCATCAAACCTCAATCTACAGCCCTTTAACACTTTCTTGAAGGGGCAAAACATGGAAGTCAGTGACAGGTTTGGGTTGTACAGGGGATATCAAACACATTCCTGTGCATGAAGCTCCGGGTGTCCCAGAAAGTGTGAGTGACGGGGATGGGCACCACTGTGCAATGCAATGACAAGACACTCCTCACAAGCATGCTGGGATGCTTTCTAGAGATCAGTGGCTCTTTGCTTACATATGTGTCACTATGAACATCTTTAATAAAATGAAAAACTTTACCCTTTTTCCTGAGCTCAGGCTTGCCCTTCTTCACAGTGGCCACAATCATGTCACCAGAGCCTGCTGCTGGCAAACGGTTCAAGCGACCCTTTACTCCCTGCACAGCAATTACATACAAGTTCTTGGCACCTGTAATAATGAAATGTTCACTGTCATAATGGCAATGCTACAAAGCATTTTGTGATTTCCTCAACACTGTCACAACTTATTAATTACTAATATCTTCCAAATAATTATTCATACAATCTTGTTCACTACAGTACTTCCACTAAATATTCCTGGAGACTCAAATCCCCATTTAACTCATAAGACCACTGATTTCGCCATCATGATTATTAATACACCTGAAAGTGCAATACTAAATAGACCTTATCACTGGGCAAGTCTTGAACTGTACTGTATTAACTGTTTCATGGCGAGGTTCTTCATACACACCTGATGCAAGAGTTTTTGAAGCATGTAAAATTACATATTAAAAACTTGTTGGATTCTTCACACATTTCCCTAGTATACAATGTGGCTTGAAAGAGACTAGTGATAATATTGCATCAACTTTTGATTTTGCATAAAGCAATCTTTCAGAAGCAAGAATCTCCAATTATCAGTGCATGGCAGATGAAATTGCAAATGAAAATCTGGCTACTGAGATCTCCTAATGGCATGATGACCATACCAAATTCATCAAAATACTTCTGATATGTGCATCTGTGTAAATAAGGCATAATTCTAATTACAATGAATTCCTGTCTGGCTACCAATTATGTAAGGTGGTTTAATGGAGAGGTGTTTTCTCCATTAAACCATCTCACATGGCTGGTAGCCTGATTGGAATTCATTATACTTTGTCACTGTGAAAGCTTGTATTATGGGGCTGCTGGCTAGATTTTAAAGCCAGCAGCACCATGTGGAGACCTTGATGCACAACAAATAAAGAATAACTCAAGGATTCATGCGCACACTTAAGCGTCCAGAATTTGACGCATAGCCACAGTACACCGAGTTTCAAAGAGGATATTTCTGAAGAAGACAGCCTGTGCCATAACATATATATACAACAACAGAAGACATCAATTTATAATTTAATGTTTTACATATACCTAAATGTAACGAAGGATCCTTGTACTTGAATTTTTATCAATTGAACAAGTTATTTTAATTTCAATCTTAATTTAATTTTAACAGTAATATATTCTATCCAATAGTATAACCATTTCAACTACTAATGTTGTATTATCATATTCACATGAACTTCAACAATCAAGAGAATCGTACATGACCTGAAGATGATCCTGTTCTGATCCAAATATATGGTATAATTCACAACTGAATAAACCCCAAAACAGTTGCGTGGATTGACCTATTATATTGTTTAATTTTAGCAGTTAATAATGATCGATGCTGATATTTATTCAACCAATCAATACTAGTTTTGGCACATGTCCTTAGGAGCACATGCTGACAGTTTGAGGTGTGGAATTTGGTGCAAATACCTGCATGATAAAGGCCGCAAGTTCCTTTAAAATGCAAAAGGTTTCTGCCGAAACGCGTAAGATTTCTAGAGCCTTAACTAAAAGCATTTACAGCAGGCCAGTAATTTAAATACAATGTTGGAATACTTTACGCAAATCTACTTACCCGTGTTGTCTGCACAGTTAATGACCGCTCCAACTGGAAGGCCCAATGATATCCTAAATTTTGCTCCTGCGGAGCCACCACGTCCTAAAATTTAATCATTAACAAACCCATAAATAAACATTATATGCAAAAGTATATATACTTGTTATGTAATACAGACAAACTAAATAATATTTCATCCTTCATTTTAATCACATGATTCGCCTGCAGTGTCGACATTAGTCTAGATAATTACAGATTAAATAACGGAAATTAATAACCTCACCTCTCTTCGACATATTGTATCCTTCTACAAAGGAAGCTTAAGGGCGCGTTCAATTACACTTGTGCTCTAGTGATCACAAGCGTTCGCGTATCCTAGCGTTTATGTGCTTACAGGTTCATTTTTGTTAGGATCGGTAGGGGTCACTACTGATATCAAATTTATCTCCAGCTGTATAGGTAAATTTCAGAACTGACATATTCTGAAGGGAACTTACTGTGGGGTATTGACCGTACCTGTCCTCTAGGGCAGCATTTCTCAACCTATGGTACGCGAGCCAATGTTGAGAGGTACGCGAACAAAGAAAGAAAATCAATATTAACATAAATAAGTTTTCCCTGAACGAATTTGGTTGGTGGTATATTTAATGTGTTAATTTAGAATTAGTGGTACGCCAGCGAAAAAGTTGAGTTTCCCTGCTCTAGGGGAAGGGCGTATGAACAAAAATAAAGAAATCCAAAGTGAATTAGCTGTAATATATCAAAAGATTGAAGTCTAAATAAATGTTCTACGTGCTAGTATCCATCTACGAAATAACGTCGGAAGAATCTTCGTAATCTAAGGCCGCCAGAAGACAGCCATCTTTAAATTTTGATTATAAACAAGGAACTTGTTATTAGACGTCATGTACATATATTTTTGGTAAAACGCGCTCGTTTCTTTTCTCTGAACATCTTACTCGATTCACAGTTTCTGAACGTACTTACAGGGGCACCACTTACACAACAATAACAAGATTTTAAGTGTACCAACATATGTAATTTGCATGTTTTGGTTGTTGCTTGTTAGTGGTTCAAATTAAGATGCCTTCCGTGTTATTGACAGAATCTTTGGCTTTAGAACTTGGAGGTATGTTAGTTTATAATTACTTCTAAGTATCTCGTTCTCAGTATATAGGATCGACATATGTTGTTTTAGACAGAACAGGCAATTCTATTCCAGCTCATGAGCCATGGCCCCAAGACGTGAAGTTATTCCAGCCGTACGAAGTAGAACAAATATTATTGCCAGACAATGCAAATTGTCTTGCAGTGCAGACATTTCTGAAGATGTGTGGCCTGGATTTTGAAGTCGAACAAAGGAGCAATGCAGAATACATGTCACCATCAGGTAAACTAAACTTTAAATGTTATTTTTCGTTTCACGTATCTTAATTGTATGTTCATATCTCGAGAAGTGATATGCAGGTACGGTGTGTTTTGGTTCTAGGTCGTGTGCCATTTATCAAGTGTGGTGCTTTTCTTATTGCTGAATTGGATCCAATTATTTCTTTTGTCAACAACAAGGTAAAGAAATATCAAACTGAAGAAGCGGGCATGGCTTCCCGTATCTTTCATCCCATCTTCCACTGTAGTTTGTTATTTTGCGGTATTCCATTCACACTTCTCCTACAACTGCAGTGTTACCAGTTATAGCAATTCAGTGTTAGATTACTTATAACATCATAATTAGAATTAATCTCAGTATGAAGTGACAGTTGAAGATTGCTGTTTTCTGGAATGTAGCGCTGTGTAGTCTGGTAGATTTTGACATTGTTTTGAAGGAGGTTACTGTTTCCTTCACCAGTGAGATAAATAAACCATGCACAAAATGGTTGTGTTAGATAGGAGTAATATATGAGCAATACCTACTTCAGAAAATAATAGTGACAAGAAGCATACTCCTAAAAATATGTTTCTTCTATTCACTGACACTACATGGCAGATTTTCCAGGGAAAAACTTAATTTGGGGTATTTGTACCATGCACTGGTTCTTGTATTTTGGCATACTATTTTTTGCCAATCATGAGAACTTTTATAACACTATAAGAAGATGAGAGAACATTCATAAGAAAATAGGAATAATTCTCAATGCCTATTGGCTGTCACTTATTTTTGCAATTTTATCTTGTGATGATAAAGGTTTTCCCCCTCAAATTTTGGGTACTTACAAGTTATGTAACATTACATTTCTTATGGAAAATTGTTGTTTTTAATGGAGATATTAATAGGTTTTGTCACAATTAGATTCAGCAATTGATTAACATGAAGCTGTGTCTTTCCAGGGCATTAGCTTGTCTGACAAGATGGACAATGCGCAGAAGGCAGATATGAGAGCTTACATGTCCCTTGTCAATACAGTTCTTGCCAATGCTGAGGTGAGTCATAATTTTTTGTTATGATGATTCTGTTTGCATTATTTTTTTTCTAACATCTTCAGGTTGTCCCTGCTCAAGTTTCTGATGTCTGTCCAGCTGATAAGGTGAAGGAATCTGTTTCTCAGGTTTCTAATCCAAATGGTAGGATGTCAACAGAGAAGTTATACAGCACAATATAAGAAGTTGTCCCACTATATGCCATGTAGGTTGGGGGGGGGGTTATAGCTCCTACTCATTGTTAACCTCAACACTAGGTGGAGATGAGTGGTCAGCACTACGCCCTGGCCATGCTGTACCCCTGGAAATGGAACCTGGTATTCACCGGATAGGAGGCTGGGTGGGCCCCAGAGCCAGTCTAGATACAGAGGCTAGAGGAAAAATCCTGTGCCCCCGTCGGGGATCGAACCCTGGTTGTCCAGTCTGTGGCCAATCGCTGTGCTGACTGATCTACGCCGAAATGGGGTCTAATAATCTTCATATTTCAAAACTCTTATGCTTGTATGTTACCAGAAATACCCAATATCTAACTAGTTTGTCCTAGGCAAAACTAGAACTGATAGGAACTGAAACTTAACATAATGTAACTTACAGATGTAGTGTCTTGTCCACTTTCCAAATCACTGTTATATATTTTCCATCCTTTATCTGAGTTACAGGGAAGTGTGCTACTGCATGTAGTTCTGTGGGCCATCAGTGTATGTATGTATATATATATATTGTAGTGTGGGGTCGGTATTAAAACAGGTGAATCGTGATGGTATTAGATATAACATGTTGCAGTTATATATAACATGGTGTGACAAAACAACACTGCAAGAAGTAACAAAACCACGCTTTGGGTCTGTGCTGCCATGGCCGCTGAATCATGTCATTGTCTGGCAGAAGCGTAGCCAGGTCGTGAAGAAGCTTGGAGTTTTGGGCTGGGCACACAAAACATTGGATGAGGTAACTTATACATCATTTTTATCTTCAAGTACAGTTTGAATCTTGTTCCTTATTTTATTTAATAAATGCAGAGGTTATGTAACTCCAAAAGAGAAATTACAGGATAACATTGGTCAGAGATTCACAGGTTATTTAAATCACTGTCTCAGCTACAGAGGTTGTTCGTCATGCAACGAGTACTGAACATAAACAATGAATTGGAATTGATTGATTATGGCACATTTAGCATACTGTTCCATAATTCTGTTGAAAGGATTGATGAAAACAGCTAATTAAGTTGGAATCCAAACAATTGCACAGTAGTGTTCTGTTTGATGCTGTGAAAGAAAAGATGCTTGAGTAATTAAAAATGAAACTGTGATAAATATTTTGCAATAAATTTTTTGTTAACTGTTCATAATGCATGGTGTATGTTCTTTAGACAAAAGTAGATCTCAGCTCACTTGGTAAAATTATGCATGTGTTAGAACCGTACATCCCTAAGTGACCCGAGTAGGTAGGTCAAGTGGAAATGCTTTTGACTTGTATATGGTTTCTGTTGAATCGCACGCTATCCTGATAGGGTTTTAATGGGGTTTGTTTGCCAGATCTTTGATGTGAATGCAGGATAGTTTCTTAAAGTAGGTCATGACAGCTTCTGCCCAAAACCTTTTCCTTTCAAAATTATATAGTCATTCTGTCATGTCATTTGTAGCTAAGTAGTACCTTTAGATAATAAAGAGTTACTGGTCTACAAATCTACCAAGTAATCTAGAGTCGGCTGGCTAACTACTGCTTCATGTTTGGGTGTCCCGGTTTCAAATCTTGGTCCGGAGACCAGCTATCCTGTTTTTTTTCTCATGATTTTCCTCAGTTCCTCCAGGCATATGCCAGGATAGTACCTTAAATTAGGCCATGACTGCTTCCTTCCACATCCTTTCCAATTCATTATTCATTATCATCTTCTCACTTGACGCTACTTGAATCTGAGCCACTGGAAAAATGTCGTTAAATAAAGTATAAATAAGCTGGTGAACATGTTTGTATACACAGGTGTACCAGGAGGTTGAGAACTGTTGCAATGCACTGTCAGTGAGACTTGGAAATCAGCCGTACTTCTTTGGCGACAGGTGAGCTAGTTTGTGGTTTACTTGGGGAATTTGTATTGCAAAACATTTTATTTTGTTTACCATCAGACACAAACACTGTGCATGTGCACATGCATTTGTGTGCAGTCACTCATGCCTGATGATGAGGCAGCAAGGAACTCTTAAACATAGGTAAACTTTTACCATATATGGTATTGTAGCCTAGAAGACAGCCATATTCTGATTTAGGATCCTAGATTGTGAGCTGATAAAACAACTTACAGGCTCCTTGCTGATATTTGTTAGTGACATTTCACAATGACCTCTCTTGTGTTGGGCAAGGCTGTAGTCTAGGCATCACAGAGTTTTCCTCCAGGGTTTCTCTGTGTCATCCCAACAATTACTCCACTTTCATCATCATCTCGCAAAAAGGGTCACAGCAGGAGCGTTAAATGTCGCGGTCCCGATCGAACCCATGTACTGATGGGTCATGAATCCTGCTAACCACCAATGCACACTATGCTGAATGGTGTGTACTGGACATGAAAAAAAAAACAATGACCTCTTATATAACTTGGTGATAAACATAATTTATAAATGCATTGTAGATGTTTATAGTGACTTTTCAGTGACCTACTATTGTGATTTATGTAACTGTAGTTGACTGATGCTGGCTAATTAGTTACACTTCTTTCCCACTTTACGGAGAAGCTGTGGATGAAATAAGCAGTACCAGTTAGTCATTTCTTCAAACTGTTGGCTTAGTATTTAAATAAATATGTCAGATCCATATGAAAAATTGTTGCATCTTCAGATTGTGTGGTACTTATAATACTTATGGTTTGGGTTTGAATACCAAGTCATTGCGCAATTGTAAAACACTGTAACCTTATGTAAGATTTGAGGTTTTTTACAGCGGTGAGTATGAAGATTTCTGTCTTCTGGGTTGTTGCCCCACACACCCTATTGGCATATTCATCGCCCTGATGACGGAGGCAGTATGACCTCTGAAAAGTTGGTTAACATTGACCAGACTACACAGCACAACAACCCAGAAAACAGAAATCTTCACTGTAACCTTACCTTCAGACATGCATTTCTGTGTGTTAGACACTTCTTCAGATGTGTTTTCCTTCCTGTCCTTCAGCAGCTGACTGCAGTTTGAAGGCATTGGAAACAGGACGAATCCCACTGTATAGTTGTACCTTGTTTCATGGTAATTCATTTTGTACTACACAGCACAGCTCCAGGACATAGATTTGGTTTGAAGCTAAAGGAACTTCGTAGACACATTAATTTTTGTTGATGCAGCAATTCTTGAGGTCTATGGAAGTAAACACAGAGAAAACTAAGTTTCTGTTCCTTTAAAACTATGGAAAGTTAAAATATTTATAAATGACTGTATCCCATTCATAAAGAATTTAAGAACAAGATAAATTCAGGGATTACCTGCCACCATACAGTTTTGTTTTCCTGTCTGCTGTCTAAAAGCAAAGATTCAAATATTCTGAAGTATAATTTTTCCCTTGTTTTGTATGAATGTAAATCCTGATCTCTCAGGTTAAGGGAAGGACATAGATTGAGGGTGTTTGAGAACAGGGTGCTTAGGAAAATATTTGGACCTAAGACAGATATGTGACAGGAGGGTGGAGAAAACTGCATAATGAGGAACTCCATAATTTACACTCTTCACTAATATTATTAGGAAGATCACAGCAAGGAGGATGAGATGGGCAGGGCATGTAGCAGATCTGGGGAAGATAAGAATTGTGCTCAACATTTTGGTTGGAAAACCTGAAGAGAAGAGACCATTTGGAAGACCTGGGCATAGATGGAATGATGGTATCAAAGTAGGTAATAGGGAAATGGGTTTGGTAGGTGTGGATTGAATTTATCTGGCTCAGGACAGGGACCAGTTGTGGGCTCCACAAAAGGTGGACAATTTCTTGACTAGCTAAGCATACTGTTAGTTTCTCAAGAACTCTTCTCCATGGAGTTAGTTTGTCAGCAAATGAATAGTATCCTGGTTGAAGGCGTTTCTTGAGTGGAGCCGTGGGTTCAGAGGTGGTTGTGAATCCAGTTGGCAAATTTTCGTGTGAAACTCTGCTTGAAGATGTATTTGGAATTCACTCCCACCTATAACTTTTGCACATTAACACACAGTAGTTTTGCAGCGAAAAGTGGAACGTACTTCACATATTATCCATTATCGTGTTGCAGACCGACTGAATTGGATGCTCTAGTGTTTGGTCATCTGTTCACAATTCTGACCACTCCACTGCCCAATAACCGGTTTGCAAGCATTGTGAGAGGCTACTCTAACCTAATTGATCTGTGCAAACTTGTGGAGAAGGAATACTTCGAGAGGACAGCAGAATCTTAATGCAGCCATCGTGCTCAATACAGTGATGAAAGGACCTTCTGTTAATGGCCTTCAGGAATATTGAGTCACTGAGTTACTTATAATGTAAAGTAGTAACAAATGTTCTTTTGCTATGTTGTGTGTGTGTCTCATCATAAGGTAAATTGGTTTTCTTTGTAACAATCAGGAACTGCTGCACCCAGATGTCTGTGATTTCTCCCATTTTTAGATGATTTATGAGTATTTTTATTATTTTCAAAGGCTTTATTTTCATATAGAATAGTCTTTGGGATCATTCACGCATATCTATCGAAGTGACCAGACTGAAAACTAAAATTGGTGGTACTGACAAACTGAACTATAATACCAATACCACGTATTCAGATGTTTATATATTGACGGTAAGGATATGGGAATATACTCTTTTGGTAATTTGTAATTATCTTTCAGTTTAATGTGATTCTTCCATGGTTATAGTTTTTTATATTAATTTGTCTGGTAACAGTGGTATATAATTAAAACAAGAAAAATCAGACCCAGGTTCCAGGTATGTAATGGTGGTTCTGATGCTCTGAAAGATAATGATGTGACTGACTAGTATTTGGCAATTCAACAGCAAATAATGAGGTATAGAGAGGTATTTTTCAGTTTGTTGTTATTGTAAATGATTTACGTTTCAATGAAAATAGATATCTTTGCAATGAAACGTCCTGAAAGATGCTACGGATATATAATTCACAGTGAAGGTTCACTGTAAATTATTTGCCAGTAAAATCACTATACTCACCACGAGTTTATAGTAGCTGCTGCAAGCAATTGGAATTGAAGTATTTGTTTATTGAGATCTATGCAGAGGAGACCACAGCTCAGTATAATGAATTCTTCTCAGGCTACCAACCATGTAAGGTGGTTTAATGGAGAAAACACTTTTTTTTTTCTAAATTAAACCACCTAAATGGTTGGTAGCCTGAGAAGAATTCATTACATTATCAATTTTATCATTCCTGTGAAGAAACAGCATGTTTTTGCTTAGCAGCATGTCACAACACTACATTCTTTCATAACTCAGTGAGGTATGGAAACTTCCATAGAAGTACAGTGAATAGTATCTTCCTATTATTATTCTTCTTTTCCGGTTTAACAATGTTTTCTACATTTTCCGGTACCCTTTACGGGTCCCCAACTTTTTAGTTGGCTTGATCTATGGTCATTCAGTAGGACTCCCGTCGCAAGGCCTCTACCTATTTACAGGACAGCACAACACAGAAAAACATCCATGGCATGAGTGGGATTCGAACCTATGGTCCCCGCGACCAAGCAGCACAAGACCCACGCCTCAGAACGCACGGCCACTGCTGACCCCATCTTCCTATTATTACAAAATATATTTCTTCCTTACAAAAGTACTTGTCCACATTCCAACTTTTTAGTTGGCTTGATCTATGGTCATTCAGTAGGACTCCCGTCGCAAGGCCTCTACCTATTTACAGGACAGCACAACAGGAATGGTAGCATTTGTAACAACCATTGTACCACCCTTGAGCAAGTCAGTTTGTTGATAGAAACACCTGTTAGAATACTCAAATTTTTTTTATACAAATTGTTACATTTAACACAAGGAAGATTTGTGGAGGAAATGTAGTATATTTTCAGGAATTCCTTTCTCTTATTTGTGTGAAAAATTTTACACGAAATCATATTTTTGCTGCCATTGCAATTTTATAGAGAAAAACTACATACACCTGCAATTTTATTAACCTTTGATTACTAGTTAAATGTTTTCAGTGGTTGCCACAGTACTTTCATTGATTAACTTTTGTTAAGTGGGAGAAATGCATTTAGAGTCTATTTATATGTGAATTGTTATATTATGCTAGTAAGAAGGAATTATTGTAGTTGACAAACTTATAATAAAAGATTATTATGGTTGCAAATTTTTTTTCCTTTACTAACCATTTTGATGCCTCTCCATGGTGGTTGTTTCAAAAACTATACTTTTGATTACCCCAATATTAGTCTTGTCTTGTTTATGTCATTTAACATATAGCCCTGAAATTACACCAGTGTTCCTGCACAATTCTGCTTTATTTTGTATTAGATGTTAATATTTTATTTAATGTCAACATAAAATGTAAGGACTACAAAATTGATATATTGTAAAAAAGTGGTTTACCCAGGTTCTGCAGTTATAGCACTGTGCGACTGATTGTGGATACTGTAATAATAAAACTGATTAGTCACAGGATTCCCAGCACTTGAAACAAGAACTTTGTTCTGTCTTAATGTCTATAGACCTGAAGGTTGCTGTCTTCTGACTCAACGCTATGAAAACCTCAGATCCTACAGTCTATAGACTTATTTACAGCACATTAATATCGAGTCCTAGAATATTCTAACAGTATTGTGAGACCTTTTTTTATTGTTGTAGACTATATTGAAGTTTAATTTTACAACAGCATAAATTTTTACAATTTGTAAATAGCAGCTGTAAATGTAGTAAAACTGAATTATCTCCTGATGGTACACATTCAACAAGGTTAGAGTGAAGAAACATGCAGAATTTGAAAGCATGGTAGATACCATGGTCAGGTAACCTGTATGTCCGTAGTCGTCCATTTCAATTTTTGTCTCTGAAAGTTCTGCAAAGATACAGTTTACCTGTTTTGAGTGGCTCTGATATGTTGACTGCAGTAACAAAATATTAAGAGAAATTTGAGGTTTCACAATCATGAAGATATGACCTTTCACGATTCTGACATGTTGTCTTGTTGGCCATCACTGATGTTTTGGAGGAACACGTTACTCCATCTTCAGGGCAGAAGATACACATTCCTTTAAAATGATGGTAACACCTACAAGACTACAGCATCACAATCCAGAAAGCCACTGTTTAGAACCAGCCCATAACATAGCATAAGCTAAGTTATGTACAGTTTATGAAGAGTGAAATGTAAGTGGCAATTGCCAGCACTCAGCAAAGTGGACAGAAATTTTGCTTATACATAACAGATCATAATATGCAGCTGGTTATCCATAAAATATAATGTGTGAAGCATGAGTGAAATCTTACCAATTCAATAATTTTAAAGACATCAAGAATGTTGAATTATTATTTTCACATTTCCATCATAACCACTTTGACAAAGAAAAAATATTGCTACAACTGCAACAGTTTCTTTAATCTCAGAGCTATATTACGAAATACATAATTAGAAGTTATTAGACATACTGGAGGAGTATGTTTTTCTATAATTTTCAGGCATTATGGATACATATTGGGAGCATTTCCCAGAAATTTGTAAATTCTTGTTATTTTGAGGTTGCCCTGTATTCTCACCTCCAAAGTGTGACCTCAAACAGTATTTCTATAAATA